TTGTACTGAGGAAAGGGGTGAATAAGAGATCTTCTGGTCCAAGCAGGCATCATGTGTTTTTTATATGAGGGACCAGGTTCTCTACCAGGAGTTACTTTTTCAGCAAACACTTTGTTTTTCTATTGTGACTGAAATCTGGCCTTACAGTTTTCTTTAAAGTGCCCAGTGTTGCCACAGTGAGTGCAAAGACAATTATCAGGTACAGTAACATACTTTCTATGAGGGTTGTAGGGAATCTTTTCCCTCTGGAACCCAATCCCCTGCTTGTTTCCCCCATTGTTGGTGTACATGGCAGTGATAACATCAGAGGACCAGGTCCACTTGAGTGATTTTTCAAGATCACTCTTCTCTTTTCCTAGTTCTGCATGAAGTTGTTTGTTTTTCTCAAGCTCAGCACACAGACTAGACTTCACTGAATTTAACTCACTTTCAAGCTTAATGTGTGCCTCGCTTGCAATTTTCTTTCCCTTTTGAGAATTTTCAGGCCTACTCTCTATTTTAGGTTTTCCAATTGTTTCCTTCAAGTCCACTACCACTACTAATAGATCATCTCTTTCATGCTCAATATTAGCAACTCTCTCAGCTAAGACTTCTTTTTCCTTTCTTACACACTCAAAGTTCTCTTTTAGGTCTACCACAACGACCATTAGATCATCTCTTTCATGTTCATCCTTCTCTTTCTTCAGGTTCTCAATTATTTCCTTTAAATCAACAACAACGATTACTAAATCATCCCTGGTTTGTTCTGCTTCTCCTAACTCCATAGTTAAAGCATCTTTATCATTTATAAGACTGTGATAAGCATCAATTAACACATTTGCCAAAGACATGAGCTTTTTAGGAGAATAAGATTTCAGATTTCTCTGAACATCTAGAAAATTTACCTCATCATCGTCATCATCATTAGACTGAGCCATCAAGGCAAAGATTGAGTCATACTCAGTTACTTCACTTTTCACTGCCATCATTGAACTATCACCATGATCATTTTCTTCTTCAGATTCGCTGGAGGAGTCTCCCCATGCAGCAAGAGCTTGCTTTACAACATTGTCAGCGATATTCTTTCTCTTGAAGTGTTTATCAGGAACCGGGTTCCTCTTGGTTGCTTTGTCAAAGTTGTTTTTGTAATGATCTTGCTTTAAGAGAGGGCACTCCTTGATAAAGTGTCCTGGCTTTCCACATTTATGACAAAGGTCATAAATTTTTGACTTGCTAGAGTTTTCCCTTTTTGGAATACCTCTATTCCTGCGAACCATCTTCTGGAATCTTCTTGTCAAGTAAGCCATATCACCATCTTCACCACTTGAACCATTGCTGTCTATCTTAAGGACCAGGTTCTTCTCCCTTTTGGGTTCTCTTCTTTCATTGTCCTTCTTCTTTTTCATTTCATATGTTTTCAGATTGCCAACAAGTTTATCTATGGTCAGTGTCCGCAAGTCCTTCACCTCTGTAATGGCGTTCACTTTGCTTTCCCAAGAACTGGGCAGAACACTAAGGATTTTCATAACAAGCTTGTTTCTTGGAATAGTTTCACAAAGAGAGTGAAGCTCATTAATGATGGAGGTGAAACGAGTGTGCATATCTTGGATGGATTCATTATCTTTTATCCTGAAGAGCTTGTATTCAGTTGTGAGCATGTCAATCTTGGATTGCTTAACCTGTGTTGTTCCTTCGTGAGATGTCTGAAGAGCCTCCCAGATTTCTTTTGCTGATTGGCATGCCGATATCCTGTTATATTCATCAGGACCAATGCCACAAACAAGAAATTTCTTTGTACGAAAGTTCTTTTCTATGGCCTTTCGATCAACATCATTGAATTCCTTCCTCATATTGGGAATAGCTACAGCTGGGTCGCCAAGATTCTTGGTGGGAATAAAGGGTCCATCACATATGACATCCCATAGCTCAGAATCTTCAGCCATGATGAAGTGGTGCATCATAGTTTTCCACCATCCATAATACTATCCATTGAACCTAGGTGATCTGTAAGCAGACTGGCCTTCTTCGAAGTTTGGAGGAGTAGCCATGATGATCCTTTCTAGGTGTTAACCTGATAGAAAGAACCTGCTCTGATACCAATTGATAGAATATAAGGGTCCACCAAACTCTATAGAGAACTAGGTTCTCTATCAGTTCCACTTAGAACACACGCACACAACAGTAAGTAGATGACAAGAGGAATTTTACGTGAAAAATTCCCAGCTCAACGGGATTAAAAATCACGACCTACCCTTGTAGGATTTCAACTTCACTACTGAGCAACTTTTAGATTATAACCTATACAACCTAGGAATTAACCTCTTAATCCCTCACTAACATGTAATACTCTATTACAAGCCACTTTGTAATAACTCTATTACAAAGACTTTACAACTCGACTAACTCTAGCCAAGACTCAAACACAAAGGTTTAAGGTTTACAAAGAGTTTCTTACAGAGTACTTCTGAACAAGCTAAGTAGTAAATACAATTTAAGAACTATTACAAAGTTACAACTCAACTAAGGACATACAATGACTTGCTGTGGGAAACTTGTCCGTAGTAGTGTTGTTCTTTGTTCTTGATCACTTGAAAGTTGATTGCTTGATCATCAATCACCGTATGAGAGCTTCAATGATTTCTCTAAGTGAACAAGTAATTTATTTTACCTTCCTTGATGTTTAATAATATATTTGTGACATCACTAGAATGATGTAAGCAAGGCAGGTAAAAGATACTCCCCATAAAGTTGACTGCAGCACTGTTTCTGCACTGTAGCGTGTGCAGGCAGCAACTTTATAGGTGAGGTAGTTGACTTGTACTGTTTCCTCGGGAAACGATAGTTATCTGTTCTCTCTGTTGTTCCTATGACTCTGAAGAGTTGAAGCATATTCCAAGCTGGAGCCTTTCGATCTTAAGGTCTTGAGGATATGTAACTGGTTCCTTATCTGGTTCTTGGCAGTAAGTTTGTTAGATCATCAAAACATAAAGCAAGGTAGTTGTAACCTATCAGTTGTCGTTTTAACCGCCATAGCCGCTATCCTTGCTTTCTTCTCCGCAATCTTATACTTCTCCCTATTCGTCCTCTTTTTCTCCTTGTTGTTACTCTTCACTAACTTCATGTAAGCAGTTTTTTTGGCTTCCACTCTCCCTTGGACCTCTCCATTCTACCACCAATCCCCTCTATGTCCACCAAAGTTATCTTTCGAGATCCCTAATACATCTCTAGCGGTTTTCCTAATACAATTAGTTTTCCTAGTCCATATACTATCTTCGACCCCACTAATCTCCCAAGCCACCATATCCATTAACTTCTCCTCCAACTCTTAAATTTTATCATTAGTCAATTCCCCCCCCCCCCCCC